TCAGATTTACATTTATATCTTCTTTTGTGTCAGGAGGATGTCCCAAGGAGCTGGGGATGGGGGTAGGGTGGGCAAAGTTGACTGAAAACACTGTCAAAGAGGTAGGCTTTGAGATGGACCTTGAATGAGGTGAGGTAGGGAGTGAGTTGGAGGGTAGAATTTAATCTTAAATTAATTGTAATGAGTCTTCCTATTGGCTGTCTGATCTGTATAATTAGACTTAAAGCATTTTCTACAGGCATTTTTGTTCAAAAAAGTTTTTTAAAATTGTCCCTTATCTTTTTTTTATTTTCCCTGTTCTTATGTAGTTAAGGCAGACATTGAACGTTTGTAAGGAACCTACAATAAAGTCACATGTTTACAGCCTACTGCATGTCTATATAAATAAACTGTCTTCAATGGCAGATTTGCAGTTTGACTCAGATACATAAAATCACCGGTGCAGTAAATTGCCTGATTGGTCACTAGCTAGACATGTCTGTCTGTCTTAGAAAAAGATGTTCTCTACTGAGCAAGTGGATTTTTCGTTTTGCTTTATCCATATCTGATTTTTCTCTCCTCCCCAAAAGATATTGGCACATACTGGGATAGTGATTTTCAGACACCATCTGCTCTTTGATATCTTGCTCAAGTGGTCATTCTTTATGTGTGAACATAACTAGTGAGTGTTACCATTTATCATGCCATTCAACCTCAGAAGTTTCACAGATGGGTGTTCACACATATGCAGCAGAGACTTCTTTTTCTCCCCCTAACCCAGGAACATTTAGGTCAAATGAAGCAGTGTAGCTGTTGTTCTGCTGATATCAACCAATTTAGCATATATTCCGAATACCAAATAGTGACTACCAGATCTCTGACTTAGTGTGCACTAAAACCCTGCACCCACAATTGAATAGCCTGCTAACAATTACTGTCATTAATCTATATGTCATAAACAATCACTGATATGGATCTCCATATAAAGAAAGACACTTGAACAACAACAAATTAGATTTGTATAGCACCTTTCACATCGGGAAGACGTCCCAAGGTGCTGGACAGTCAGGGATTTGGCCCCGAACAAAGTACCACTTGAAACAACTTTCTCATATTTCCTGCTTTCAGAAAAAAAATAGGTTTCATAACAAAATTAGATATTGACTTGAGACTAAACAGAAAGGAACCAAGTTTACACTAGCGACTCATGATGATATGAGCTCCTGTTAGGCCAGATCCAGGGTGGGGGGTGGGAGAAAAAGTTATCCTGATCGATTCCATAAACTTTCTTACAGCCAAATAAATGAAAACATTGTTCTTGGCATCCCTCTTTTTTCACAAATATATGCTTATCCTAAGGAAACCTAAACAGTAAAGTTTTAAAAATATATATAGTAAATTGTGAGTAATCCAAAGGCCAGTGATCTGACTCTGTTAAACCTGCAGTTCTGGATAAAATCAAATAACATGCTTCTCTTTCATTTACGTCTTATCTAAACTAAACAGTGTTTGGTCTCAACACTTTGGATCTGCACATTTAAAAAATGAGGAGTAGAGAAATGGTAGAGGATGGTAGACCATCCTCCTCTCCAGTAAGGAAAGAGCAATAATCCAAATATTGATGACAGTTTACCAATGCAATCATGTAGGTTCCACCTGCTATACCATATTCCAGTCCGCCCCACCCAGACATTATAGCTTTCTGCTTGAGTGGTAAGTGTATTTCCTATTGCTAAAAGACTTTTAGTGATAACAGCAAAAAGTTGATACAAATTCTCAACACTGTGATGAAATAGTATAAAACTGCAATAAAAATAGTCAAAGGAAAGTTTTTTTCTCCTCAGCACAGCTGTAAATCACCCTATGCAGGACAGGACTCTTGAGTATTCACTGAATGTACAAAAAATGTATTGAAAATTCTCCTCATATAGCCAGTAATTCCCTTCTGAGTGGATGCTCTTTGTACTGACAATTGCGAGGAAGGGCACAGTTTCTCGTTACTGCCTCACCCCTCAGACTGCCGAAATCCTCACCTACACATTCGTCACATCGAGGCTTGATTATGGAAACTCTCTCCTCATCGGCCTTCCTAACTCTTCCCTTCACAAGCTGCAGATCATCCAAAATTCTGCAGCTTGTGTACTCTTGTGCACCAAGTTCCGTGACCCCATCACTCCCACTCTTGCTCGACTCTTTGACCTGCTAACTCCCTACCAACCTGTCCGCTCCCTCCGTTCAGTGGGCTCCGACCTGCTCCATGTCTCCCGCTCGACCTGCCCTATCATTGGTGGACGGGTTTTCAGCCTCTCTGCCCCCACACTCTGGAACTCCATCCCACAGTCCCTTCGCCTCGCTTCCTCCCTTGCCTCCTTCAAGGCCGGTCTCAAGACCCTCCTCTTTGATCGTGCCTTCAGTCACCCTTCCATCTCTCTGCCTTCCCTCACCACTACCCCACCCCTCCCCCATGTTCGGGTCCTGACCCCTGACTGTCCAGCGCCTTGGGACGTCCTCCAGACGTGAAAGGTGCTCTATAAATATAATAATAATAATCCTTGCATTTGATATAGCGCTTTTCACGTCAGGAGGACGTCCCAAAGCGCTTCACAGAACACACTGTCAAGTGAATTGACTATATTTGTGGGCGAACGCGGCAGCCAATTGCGCACAGCAATGTCCCACAAACAGTCGTAGATTGAAAATGACCAATTTAATTATTGTTTTTGGAGGGATTATTAATTGTAATTATTAATGTCATTTTGTTGTTGTTGTTTGCATTTGCCGTCAGGATGCAAAACCGGCAATAAGCCTTACAGAGAGCAGGCAGGTAGCTTACTGACATTGTTCTCTGAGACCAAATGATGCATGAAGCATCGAACTGTTTCATGTCCACGCTCAACCCACCACCAGTGTGGGGTGGCCATCAACCCCTTGGGATATTCCCCAACAGGCAAGGTACAATATAAATATAAATTTGTTGGTGTTAGCCTAGTTTTTGGCTAATTTGTCTCCACTCTCTGGAACTCCACCCTGAAGTCCCTCTGCCTGCCTTAACAACAATAACAACAACTTGCATTTATTTAGCACCCTTCACGCCGGACGGCATCTTAGAGTGCTTAACAATGGCCGAGGCTGAGCCAGGGTGAGGGGGAAGATGACTGCAGGCATGGTCGAAGAGGAGGCTGGACCTAGTAGAGCGGAGGCTGCGGGTACTGCTGTGGGGAGAGAGGAGGTTGGAGAGATAGGGGGGTGTCAAGGAATGGAGTGGTTTAAACACTAGAGTGAGGATCTTGAAGTTGATCTGCTCTGTGACAGGGACCCAGTGGAGTTTGGCAAGGGCTGGAGTAATCGGGGTACGAAGTTTGGTGAGGGTGAGAGTGCGGGCGGCGGAGTTTTGAATGAGCTGAATTTTGTGAATAGTAGAGGAGGGGAGACCGGCGAGGAGGGTGTTAGAGTAGTCTAGTCGAGAGGTGCCAAAGGCATGGACAAGGGTTTCAGAAGCTTTTGGGGTGAGGTATTCTCGGAGATTGGCAATGTAGCAGAGGTGGAAGAAAGAGGTTATGGTCAGGGACCGGATGTGGGGAAGGATGGATAACTGGGGATCGAACCTGAGGCCTTAGTTGCGCACGGTTTCGGAGAGTTTTAAGGACAAGTCAGGTAGTTTGAGGAGGTCGGAACTGTGGGACAGAAGACATCGACGCTAGCCAAAGAGTATGGCTTCCGGTGCTGTTGATGTTTAACTGCAGGAAATTTGCACTCATCCAGCTCTTGATGTCGACAGACAAGGTGACAGAACATCAGGGGACTGGGGGTCACAGATGGAGGTGGAAAAGTAGAGTTCAGTGTCATCCGCATACATGTGGAAATTAACCCTGTATCTGTGAATGACATCACTGAGAGGGAACATATAGATGAGGAAGAGAAGGGGGCCAAGGATGGATCTTTGGGGTACCCCGCAGGTGACCGGGTGGAAGCGAGAAGAAAAGCCATTTGCAGAAATGTAGTGCTGGCGGTTTGTAAGGTAGGACTCGAACCAAGTGAGGATTTCAGGGGGATGACAGAGTTGCAGGTGGAAGAGAGGCGATCATTGAGCAGCTTGACAGCTGCTTCAGGGTTGCTGCGGGTGGAAGGCCAGAAGGATAGGAGATCTGAGGATGAGAGAGCCTTTGTGAGGGTCTTGGGGGGGGGGGGGGAAGCCTTTTCCATGGGCGGAAAAGTGTGGTTGAGGGTTTGATGGAGGAGAGAGGGATCGAGAGGAGAAGGAGATAAAGAAGTGGTCCAAGATGGCCTTGTCCGTGATGCACAGGTCGGAAATGTGAAGGCCATGTGTGATGACGAAGTCGAGGGGTGGCTACGGTTGTGAATTGGCGATTTGATTTGGAGGGTGAGGTTAGGGAGGAGAGGAGGGCAGTGAAATCTGAGGATGTGGTGCAGGGGGAGTTTAGGTGGAGACTGAAGTCGCCCATTATGAGCAGGTGTTCTGAGCAGAGGGACAGGAAGGAGAGGAGAGCAGAGATATCGGAGAGGAAGGAGCCAGAGGGTTTTTACCAGGAGAATTTCGAGTGAGAAAAAGGAGGGATGATAGAGGGTGAGGTGCTCAAAGGAACAGAGAGAAACAGCCTAAAGAATAGGGGGATAGACCAAGGGAAGCTTGGGAGATGAGGGCCCCAGTGGGGCATGTGGTGAAAAGTGTAGCCAGGAGGGGAGGCTTCAACAAGGTTGACGGGGTCATTGGGGAGAGCCAGGTTTCCGCAACCCAAGAATATCGCTGTGCTCATCCAGGATAAGGTCATGGATATTAAGGGCTTTATTGGAGAGGGAGCAGACATTTTGGAGGGAAATGTGCATAGGCTTGCTGGTTGAGTGGGATGGAGGAAAGAGTGGTATAGGGAATATAGGGAGGTTGTGGGGGAGAAATGACCGTGGAATTTGAGGAGGGGGGAGAGTTAGAGAGGGTATGGATGAGGGTTGTTATGAGGAAGGGCTGTTTGCTTTTCAAGCGGTTGGTGCAGAGAGAGTGAGCAATGGTGACAAGTTGGGTGGCTGCTCTGGGACAACCAACGCCGGGAGCCATAATGGGCTTGGCGAGGATGCCCAGGCTGGAGCAGAGTGAGGTAATGGTGGGATCTAGAAGAGAGAAAAGTTGAGAAGGGAGAAAAGGACAGAGTGGGAGTAGCGGAGTGTGGGAGGTAGGACTAGGAACATTTTCAGAGGAAGCGGCTCAGGTTGATATAGAGGATCAACACTTGGTTTTATTGGATTCCTCAAAAGCCACTGAGCTCTGGAGGACCATCTGGGAGAAGTGTCCTTTCTACTCAACTCCCTTTAACCCTATAAGCCAAAGTCATAACAGGAAGGATAGAACTAGCTGGACAAGCAGTGACAGACGGTGCTTTTAATGGCAAGCTATGCGGTTCGAGCTGGTTAACTCCCAACAGTTACCCCTATGCACATTCTGGGGCACCAAGCCATGACCCTTGTCATCCTGCATCTAATATTCTCCAGAAATAGGTTAGCAGAGAGCATTATTCCATTCGAGACACAGGAATTTCCATGCGTAGGTGACATGGAACTCTGTTTGGTTTGGAAACTTTTAAGCACAGCGATAGTTTCCACATGCGTCAGATATTTGGCTGACCAAAAGAAAATCAGTGGATTAACTAAAAAAAGTAAAGTCCAGAGAGGGTAAAGGATAGTTGGCAACTGACCCAACAAACAGGCTGTAGAAGAGATTCATCTGGATGGTGGGTGAAAGAACTGGCAGGAGTGCTGAGCAGATTGAAGATCTTAATGATCCAGTCCACTGGGAGGAAGTGGCATCCGGCATTGCTAATAGTAAGGTAGCAGATGCAGACTGTATTAATATTGAGTTCATAAAAGCTGCTCTGAGAGAGTGGACGGAGCATGGCGGGGGGCTCTTACACATCAATGCCAGGAACTGTCAGCTTAGTTTGGAGCTGCCCTTCTAAGACTGTTCAATAGGATTCTCTCTGAGGTGCACACAGACCATCAGTATTCCAGAGTGAAATGATGGTATCTACCCATAAGAATCATTAATGAAGTTGAGAATTACTGAGGAATCTCACTGATTTCTGTGGTTTTTAACATGGTTCTTCAGATAGCCACTGCTCAAATGCAAGTGTTAAATCAGATGCATTGGGGTCCTGCGGTTTGACTGGATTCTGTTCTCATGAGCAGTGTGGGGCAGGTTGCGGTTTTGTATAAGACGTGTGTTCAACAGCTTTTCATGGTTCCGAACACCAAGGTATGTAGTGGAGGGGTTTCCTTTGGCCCATTTGTGAAGTCCAGGATGAAGCAGTGTGGTGGAACCCAATCACTGTATTTAAGAGTATCCAAACCGAACTGAAAATTCCATGTACAGACAGCTGCAGGAGTCAAGGCTTGGGAATCCAGAGTGTGAATTAGGGTACTGCTGGAGTTTTAACCAATTAAAACTGCATAGCTTGCCACTGAAAACACTGTCTGCCAAGCTTTCCCGCTTGGACCACACTACGTTTTAGGGCTTGGCTATCAGGGTTAACAGGAGCTGAGTGGGAAGAATCCCTACCCCATGTGACTGGTCTGCCCCTCTCATGTGCCATGGAGTTTAGCACACCTGTCTTAAGAACCTCATTACTGAGACCACCACAGAGGGTTATTGTGTATTCTGAGAAGATCCTGCTCACCACCTGCCTCTGGAGGATAGTTGCCTGTTGCTGGAAATGGAGTAGGTAGCATTGAACTTGAACCTATAAAGCATCAAAGTAACTGGCACGTATTGACCAAGTGGTGCTAATGCCAATCATTAGTAATCCTGCAAATTCATACTCTCCACACAATTGTTCCAAGAGAATGTTACGCGTTAATCAAAAGACAGTAATAGCAGGGGAAAATCTGACAAAAATATACAAGAAAGTTTCTTGTCCCATTAAAATTGCTTCTATAAGTCCAATTCTATGCCATGACTAAGGAACGGTTAAATGCAGATGTCCACCATATCTTTACCATATTTGTGAGTTCAGAAATGTGTTTTATATCATTGCTGGTATGGTAAACTGCACACAAGTTAAAATAGAAGACCTACATTCTAGGCAGCATCAGTTGTCAGGGATACTATTCCCTCAATTCATTAACAAATGTGAAGGATTATAGTCCTGCAGGTAACTAGTAATTTCTCCTCATTAGTCCTTTATTCTGAGTACTTGGACAGGTTTCCTAAATAAGAGGACTGAATGAGTACATGACTCTCTGTGGATCATGACATGATACAAAAACATAAGCTTAACAATCATGCACCCCTTGGAATACAAATATCCATACTGGGTGCATGATACATAAATAAAGGAACTTGTACAAGAATTTTGGTGCTTGGATGGTACCCTGCAGTGTACACCTTATAAGGTCTGTAGAACTTTTAATCTTGGCTTACGCATCAGTTGTTACGAATGAGAGCATGAAGATGAGAAAATACTCCCAGCATTGGCAAAGGGAACTAAAATCCCGTTAGAAACAAATGAGCTTTGAAAATAATAGAAATATGACACAGCAAGAATCCTCATTATGGATATTTCAGCTGCATTCTATTGACTACTTAACTCCTTAAGCAGCTCCAAGTGCTTCTATGTGCAGCAACCAGTGCTGGAGGAGGGAAAATAAATTGTTCAAAGAAATTGAATGGAGCTGAAAGAGCAATGTTGACTGTTGTTCCACCTGGGGGTCACTAAGGACTTCAAGAGGGACTTCTGTTGTCACTTCTAATGATTTGACACCATTTCAGGCAGCACTGACCAAGAGCCCTTCTCATGCCTGATGGGTTCCAAACAAAATTCTATATGGTTGGGCAGAACACAAATGTCATTGAATTGGCTCAACAGCACAGATGACATTCCAAATATCAGTTAATTCCAGTAGACAACAACTCATTTCATAGAATTATACAGCACAGAAGGAGGCCATTTGGCCCATTATGTCTGCGCCGGCTCTTTGAAAAGAGCTATCCAATTCAAATCCCACTCCCCCGCTCTCTCCCCATAGCCCTGCAAACTTGACCTCCCAAATAATTATCTACTTGTTTCTTAAAAGTTGTTATCGAATCGGCTTCCACCGCCCTTTCAGGCAATGTATTCCAGATCTGAACTTGCTGTGTGAAACAAATTCTCCTCTGTTTCTTTTAACAATTATTTTAAATCGGTCTCCTCGGATTAACCAACTCACCCACCAGTTCTCCTTGTTCACCTGATCAAATCCCCTCATAATTTTGAAGACTTCTATTGAGTCTCCTCTTAAGCTTCTCTGCTGCAGGGAGAATAATCCCAGCTTCTCTATCCTCTCCTGATAACTGAAGTCCCTCATTCCTGAACCCAGTCTCTCGCTGAGGCCTAACCAGTGTTTTATAAAGGTTCATCATAATTTTCTGACTTTTGTATTCTATGCCCCTATTTATAAAGCTTAGTATCCCATATGCTTTTTTAACAGCTTTATCTACCTGTCTTGTCATCTTCAAAGATTTACTTATATGAACCCCCAGGTCTCTCTGTTCCTTCACCTCCTTTACCATCAGCTGATATTGTCTCTCCTCATTCTTCCTCCCAAAATGCATCACTTCGCATTTCTCCACATTAAACTTCATTTGCCATATGTCGGCCCATGTTACTAATCTGTCTATGTCCTCTTGCAATCTGCTACTATCCTCCTCACTGTTTACTACTTTTCCTAGCTTAGCCAAGTTTCTAGTCTCAGCCAAGTCAACAGTTTTCACAGTTTGTATTTCAGCACCTGGTCTATGATGTTGAACAATGAGAGCAGGTTGGAAACCAGCCTCAGTATCAATTAAATTCATCCCCTTAGCGGGTTACATTGCTACATCTATCCACGATGGCTGCACTAACCTACATAGCGACTCTGAGCTTAGCACCCATCTGCTGTCTCAGCTACAAAAGCTGCAGGAAGAGCAACAGAAATGGAACCTTTCGGGTGTTCTTCCTACATGAAAGGCTGTATATAATTTTAGGTTGTATGCTTTGGGGGAAAATATTTTAAAGTAGAGTAAATCTTGCATGTCGAATCAGTTGGTACCATACATTTAATATTACTTATGTGAAGTATGAGTTATGTCAAACATAAAATATAAACTCTTGAACAGGACGTGGGCAGATGTACGACTTAAGCAATTAACCAATTTATACAAAACAAACTTATGCGAGTTTTACTGTACTACATCATGTATATTAAGTGATATAGAAAAGACCATAATGTCCCAGGTTTGATATGGGCTGAATTAACTGATCTCACGAGGGGAACTGGTGGGGAAATACAGTTTGTCTCAGTGCTCCTGAACTAGAGGTGAAAATCAGTCATAGTCATAGGTCCAGTAACCCTATCTGAGGTGCATATGTAGCCCTCAGGTAACAGCCTGATCCCATGGTCAAATAGCTGCTGAAACACACTGTCTAGACACACGAAGAATGGCCAATTTAACAAGGTAAAAGAGTCTGTGGAAATGGAACCCACCAAGTGGTGGGGTATTCTCTTTCAGGAGAGGAGGAGGTGAGAACATTTTCGCACAATGTTTTTTTGTAAAGATAAATATTTAAACATAAAAGAGCACACCTGTGCCAGGTCTGTGTTTTAGATTGGTTCAGTAAGAAATCTATAATTCTTTGTTACAATCAACTTGCAGCCTGGCCTCCATTATCCAGGTAAGTCCTTCGTGTATGGATAGATGTCGACAGGCTTAGTATCATGTTTGTTACTCTACTTGTATTAACTTTAAATTATTCTTACGAAAAAAGTACCCTTAGTGGAGAAGGAATCAGGTTTGTAATACTGTTTTTTGCTGGGAAAATAAATAAGTATCTTCTGGGACAACCTGAATATGTTAACAATTTATTCTTATTGTAAATCTTACATGCTCACATGGCTTCTTTAAGTGAAGAAATGAAAAAATCTGTCCAATGATTTTAAAGTGGCATGTTTCTTCTAAATAAATAAGGACTTATTTATTTCTGGGATCTGCTAGTTGTAAATACTCATGCAGTTTGTTGTAATAGTACATCAAAGCACAGAGTGTTATGACATTTTTCAAGCAACCCGAATTGACTATCATTTTAGCAGTGTCAATGGGGAGTAAAGGTGAACAGTTTAAAGAGAGTTCAGGGATAAAACTTTGTATCAAATCATAAAACATGATGGAACGTATCAAGAAGAGATTGTTTAAGATGAGAGCCACCGCAGTGCTGTCCCTTGTGGTATGAACCATAGCAATAAATAATTCCATGGGAACAGACTATCCCAAATGGGCCAGGTTTCCTGTGTTGAAAGAGGCATATTTGCTTTGATGCATTTAGTATTCTATACTAGACCTCTAAAGTAACCTAGATGTATTATTGGGAATGTTACACAGTCGGACATGATACCAGGAGTGACACAGAATGTATTGCTAGAATTGCCATAGTGGAGATGCTCCTGGGAATGCCATAGCCAAATATGATCTGTCTGGAAGTGATGCTGAGATTGATGTTGTTGGTTTTGGTGCGCTAATTCACAAGATAAGCTAGTTGTTGAAGGAAATGTATAGTTTGAAATGACTGGAACTGAGCCGATGAAGCGAATGTGGGATGGAGTTCCAAAGGGTGTGGACATAAAGGCTGAAGGTCCGACTGCCGATGGTGGGATAGGCCAGACGGGGGACGTGGAGCAGACCGAAGCCTGCTGAACAAACAGGTTCATAAGGGGTTAGCAGGTCAGAGAGATAGGAAGGAGCAAGGCCATGGTAGGCTTTAAAAACAAGGATTTTGAACTCTATCCCCTGGGGGATGGGGAGCCAGTGGAACCGGGCGAGGGTGAGGGTGATAGGGGCACGGAGCCTGGTGCAGAAGAGGACACGAACTGCAGAGTTCTGGATTATCTGCAGCTTGTGGAGGGAAGAGTTCGGAAGGCCGACAGGCAGGGAGTTCGCGAAGTCGAGCCTAGATGTGATGACTGCGTGTATGACGGTTTCAGTGGCCTGAGGGGAGAGGCAGTGGCGGAGTTGGGTGATGTTGTGGAGGTGAGGGAGGGCAGAGCAGGTCATAGCACGAATGTGCAGCTTTTTAATGAAGAACTGTATCTAATTTTGCTGCCAGAGATGGTGCTAATGTATGATTTCAAAGTTGGGATAGATCACACCATCTATGATTCTTGCAGTAAGGATAATTTTGGATGATCCCACTCAATTTTTTGCAAGTGTACTTTATAGGAAAATTCCAGTGGGATAAAGTGCAAAAGACTGATCTGTCAATTAACCTTTCAGATGCAACTCTCAGCAGATGCTTCATTGGCTGCATTTATACATACAACGTGACTTTGGTGACAGTGCAAGATCTTGGGCCTTGCCCTCTGTGTTGCTGAAAGGTCAAGTTTTAAGCATATGGCCCTTTTTTCCTTGCACTTTTTTTTGCAAAAATAATAATTTGGTTAATCAATCCATGACTGTTTGTGGGGCCCTGCCGTGCGCAATTGGCTCCCACGTTTAGCCCACACTATATACAGTCAATTAACTTTACACTATATTCTGTGAACTATGTGGAGATGTCTCAAAGTCGTGATAAGGTCCTATAACAAATGCAAGGATTATTATTCTGTTTCTCGCTACCCCCTTCCCAAAATGTTTTGTCAACATGCCTCGCAGTTTCCTGGTCATCATTCATCAGCATCCTGAATAATTCCTTATCTGTTGGAGACAAGCTGAGACCTCATTTGACAAGGTCATCCACACCATTTCCCTAGTTTGCATGTAATTTTGAGCATTCAGTGCTGCAGATTTCCATTTCATTGCCCTTTCTGTGGTTATCCATTGCAAAGATATTCAAGTTTAGGCAGTGGAAGTCAGTATGATAAAGTTTGTGTTTATCTGTAGCTGTGGGCTGCCTGCTAATTGGAGAAACAGAAATCAAAGGCCAGAGGTGAGCTGTAAACCAGCTAAAGCATTTTTGTAACTGCCAGCCACTTTCATGCGTTCTATTGTAATGGATGGAGTTATGATATTTTAGAAATTGGCCACTTTTTTCCCTTCTTCCCTCTCTTGGAGGTGTTGATTTTGTTTCTCTTGATGTGCAAAAACTGTAACCTCTTTTCATCTCTTAAAAACGCATTTTGCAATCTTTGCTCCTTTTCCTATCATAAATGTCCCTCAATACATTTTTACAGTAGCAGCACATCTAAATATAGGATGGGGTTGATTAAAACAAATTTAGCTGGTTAAATTCCAGCAGTACCCCAATGCACACTCTGGGGTCCCCAAGACTTGGCTGTTGCAAACCCGTGCCTAATACTTACCAGAATTAGACGAGCAAAATACATCCCTCCAGGGAGAGTGTGCATTCCATTCCAACAATCTATCTCTGGGATTTCCATCTGAAGGTGGGATTCATGGACCTCTCAGTTTGGTTTGGCTACTCTTAAGCATGGTGATTAGTTTCTGTATGTGTCAAACACCCAACTGACCTAAAATAAACAAAATACATTGTGTCCTCAAGGAAATATAAGGATCAATATAAATATTCAAATGTAAGAATTAAATCAAGAATGATCCAGAATTGTATATCATTGCAAAAATGATTTTGATAGAGATGTTAGTGAAAACAGTGAGAAAATATTTTTTATTCCCTTCATTTAAAAAAAGTGTTTTGTTTATTCTATGTCACTTTTTGGTTGGAAGATATTCCTATTCTCAATTTTCCACATAAATAAATCTTTACTCGTATTTTAAAATGAGTTTTGACAAGGCAACACACAGATTTAATCCACTGCACAAAGGAACACAGGTTAAGGTTCTATTAGGATGTGTTATCTAGTATGTTCCAGGTTCTACTAAATTATACAAAAGTTATTTTGCTATGCATATTGATATTGTGAACTGCAACTATATAAAAATCAAGGTAGATATCACCAAGTTCAATAAATTGGCTTACATTCTGTTAAATAAAAGTCAAAATGTGCATTGATTGTTGCAAATTTACGAGTGGCTTTTTTTATATAACTTTTATTTCACAAAACGTATCACCATTAATTTCATTGTTCATGTTAATGGCCATTTTCGGAATAATGGCAAGACAAAATCAGACTTTTTGAAGTGATAAGTTACTATATCAAATAAAAGTTATTTATTGCCTAGACGATTCTGAGGTGTGGGGGAGAGCTCATATTATTTTGATTCTAAACTTCACAATATCATAAGATTGGTTTGGATGAAGTCTTTGGATGAACCCTCCAGTCTCCATTAAAACTCATCATTCTAGAATACCCACCCTGTAAGCAGTATTCAAGTTTCGGTCTGACCAGAGTACAGCCTGAATATGATATCTGGGGATCTAAACTCAACTGATTTAGCAATGTAGCCTAGCATCCTTGTTTGTGTCCTGTTTAGATATAGTAAGTGAAGAGTCAACTAACACCCTTTCAGCTTCTCCCTTAGCTAATACCTGCCACTATATAACTACACTTCAATGTAACTCATTGTGTAAACTGTTTGCGACTTTTTAATGTGATGAGTTGCTATATCAAATATCTTTTTTTAATACTCTGTGGATATATTTAACTTCAGTCAATGGCACAAATTGCTGCAATTACCCAGACCCTTTGGTTATTCATTGCCTTGGCAGCGAATTGGTGCCATCCAAAAAATTAAAAGACTTGCTACTGATCTAGACAATGTGATGACATTATACCATAATTGGGTGGGGAAAGGCCAGAAAAGCATTGCTTGATATTTAGGCATCTACTTCTACTAGTTGACTACCATTATTTCTCTATTAATTGATCGAGAAAATCCTTGGGTCTTGTGCGTGGATAAAGTGTCATGTGAATGCGTGAAATGAAAAACAGAAACCATGGGATTTCCAAAAGTAAAGTATACAATTGCACTAAAAAGCAATGGTTGAGAACCAATATCTCTGCTTGAGCTGAGGTTTGAACGGTTATTTTACATCTGATCCTATTGCTGCCTTTTCTTCAGGGAAGGAAAGCAAAGTGCTGGCGACAGGTGGGGCTTCTGTGAACCTGGATATACTGCAGGTAGGATATCCGGTCTCAATCGTGCAGTTCTGGATCGGGGAAGGGTTACAGTACAACAATAACATAAATTTTACATTTACATAATTCCTTTCACATCTCAAAGTGCTACACCAAGCTGACAGGGAGTCTGAGCTCAGAGGTATGGGGAGCTCGGAAAGGGTATGGGGTGGTGGGTGATCAAAAGAAAGGCAGGCTTGTCATGTGGGGCGAGGGGTAGAGGCACAGCGACTCCAGAGGTGCACCCATTTCCATGCTTGCTGAACTCCCCAGCTGCTCCATCTCCATTGTACAGTATCCCTTTCAAAATTGTCATTATTACCCCTCCAACCCTTCCAGAAGTTCTCATGTGATTCATCCATGCTCTTCAGCTACCAACCTATCTCCAACCTGCACTTCCTAGTACAAGTGGCCATTTTGAGCCCAGCTGATGGAGTTTTAGTCATCACTAAATTATCTGTGAACATCACAATTAATTTTCCAGCAAGTGATTAGCTAATTATATTGCTGCCTCCAGCACTGCTACCTCAGAAAGTGTTGCGAGAACCATCTCCTAAGGTGAGTCTTTGTGCCTCTGGTGACACCTTAGCTTGGCAGTAGTGCTGCTACCAAAGACAGGACTTTTCTGATTGTCGGAGCATCAGGTTAAATGTAGCAGAAGTGCGCTAATTACCCCTGAGTTATGCTTAGTCCAGGTCTATAAAATAATACAATAGTGACTGTCAATTACAAGTGCAAAATGCTGGTAAATTCACAGTACTTTTCCAGGTAAGACTGGTTATTTAGCGCTTTGAGAAGCTGCCCCAGGTGAAGGGCGCTATATAAATGATCTTATTGAATGGCGGGGCAGGCTCGAGTAGCCGAATGGCCTACTCCTGCTCCTAATTCTTATGTTCTTAAATGCAAGTTGTTGTTATTTGATGGCTCTTTGGCTCGCAGATTTAACAAGATGCCTATTTCACACCTCTAGTCGTCAAGTTTACAAGATGACTAGCCTACTACAATGGCTAGTAGGCTGAACCTAACTCAGCCAACTAGCCATTGAAACCAGAGATCAGTTAAACCTATGCTGACCTTTTTATGCTTGCTGTCATTTTATAGCCAAACACAATCAGTGGCAGGCAGACAAAAAAACAGAAACACACTGACATTGAAGCATTGCTGACCTTTTCCTTTGGCCCTTTATTAACCCCTTCTAAACAGTGTGTCACTGACAGGATTATGTCAGAGTGCCAATGTGGTGATGTTGTAGCCTCGCTACTGGTTTTAATATTCTCTTACCTCTACCCTCTCAGAAGAATGTGCTTTTAATCAGTCATTCTACAATCATTTTCACGTCAAACTCTTCATAATATACTTTCTTTAAATCCTTGGTCAGTATTTTCCTTTCGTCCAATGAATAAGGGAAGGAGTCTGTCCGGCCCTTGTATCCAATTAATCTCTACTCTGTTTTATGTTCATCCTTGCAGTTTTTGCAAGCTGCAATCCTGAAAGAATGACAAATCTCTGCTGCGTCACCTGACTCTCGCCAGCCATGGTTCTAATGTGATTGTGTGTGGTGTGGGTACCTGCTGCAGGATTGCACAATTAATCAGCAGCAAATGGGAATACCTTTCCATCAAATGTTTGTATTTATTTCGTAGGTTCTGTCGGATGTGTTCAATTCTCCAGTGTACACAATCAAAACATCTGATTCAGCTTGTTTGGGAAGTGCTTTCAGAGCAAAACAAGGTATGAAGAATAATGACTAACCTTAGTAATGAGTCAAATCGTGCTGTGAGGAAATAAAATATCGATGTGTTTATTTAAGATCAAGTCATCCAGGAAAATGTATCTTTAAATCTATATTTTAAATCTATGTCTGTTTTTCTGTTCTCAATAATTGTGAATTTACAGTACCCTTTTATAACCTTTTGTAATCATTATAATAATAATAATAATACTAGCATTTGATTATTATAAATGGTTATGAAGTTCTGTAAATTCACAATTCATCTTAATGTTTATATTTATCTTAATGCATTTACTTTAATGTTTGGAAAAATATTTTTATTGTATGGTTATGCAATTCTTAGAATATGTAATTTTAATGGACCTTGCCTCTTGCTATTTATAATAACATCTGCATTCAATTGAGACATAGCCTTACGATGCTTACGTGAATTCATTTTAAGTGATTTACTCAGTTTGTGACGATTTCACTGTTCACTTTGGAAAATCACTTTAAAAGGAGAATTAAGGCCTGGTTCAAGTGCTCCCATTGGAAAAATACATTATATTTCATATATAAAAAAGGTCATTCATATCAGTGTTGTTTGAGTGATATTTCTTCCTCAGAAGAATGCATTTGTCGGGCTCATCAAAGAGAGTTAGAAATGTAAATATCTGATTAACCTGATTATTATTACCGATTATAAAATCATGCCATATCAGAAGAGGTACTCCTCCAGCTTTAGCAGAGGACTGCAGGAGTGTTAATACGGCATACTTGGACTTTATTTCAATAGATCTCAGGGGTAAATTCACTTACAGGTGCAATAGCAGCAACAGATGATCACAGCTCCCAAATTAACTGTGAACAAGTGTATTCTTTGCATGTTTAGTGGAATCCTGGGGTTGTTTCTACTAGAACGTGTCTTGTTACACTAATATTTACATTTGAATTCATTCTCCGAATATGAGAGGAAAGATCAGTGAGGTAGAAATATTTTTTATATATACATCGTCCCTCTCACTGAAAAGATGATCAGTCAGACTGTCATAGATGGTATTCTGCTTGCTAGGACAGTGAACTGAATCAAGTAATTTATTTCAAAGTTAAATATTATCATTGTTATTATTGATGAAATTAAGCTTTCTCTTGGCTAAAGCTGAACACCCAACAATTTGATACATGGGTATGATGTACTCATGTTGAACACATCTGGAATGTAACTGGGGTAAGTCAGTAAAACACGAGTACCTCGTGTTTCGGGACCACATCACTCCCACCCTCGCTCGCCTCCACTGGCTCCCCATCCCCCAGAGGATTGATTTCAAGATCCTCATCCTCACCTACAAGGCCATTCACGGCCTTGCTCCCTCCTACCTCTCCGACCTACTATCCCCCTACCTACCTGCCCGTACCCTCCGTTCCTCTGGCTCCGGTCTGCTCCACGTCCCCCGCCCCAACCGCCCTACCATCGGTGGTCGGGCCTTCAGCCTCTCAGCCCCCAGGCTCTGGAACTCCATCCCCCAGTGCCTTCGCCGCCTCCTCCCTTTCCTCCTTCAAGGCCGGTCTCAAGACCTTTCTCTTTGACCGAGCCTTCAGCTCCCCTCTCGACTCTCTTCCCCCTCCTCGCTCCCTCCCTTCCCTCCCCTCACCCTGACCATTTCCCCCCTCCTCGCTCCCTCCCTTCCCTCCCCTCACCCTGACCATTTCCCCCCTGCTCGGGTCATGACCCAACTGTGCAGCGCCTTGGGACGTCCTCCTGACGTGAAAGGCGCTTCATAAATGGAATCTTGTTGTTGTTGTTGTTTACTGAGTAAGTGGCTCCCATTTCCTCAGAAATGTGTACCTATCAGTTTGCAGTACAAAATGTTGACCAATTGTTACACTGTGTACTATGAAGGAAAGTGGCTGCCATCTTACCTGAAGCTAATTTGTGAATGCAGGGTTAGAACATAAGGATTTGCTAGGTGAAAGAAGACTAAGGTCCATCCAGTTCCCCTTCCACCATTCTGGCAGTTGCATGACATGTCATGTCCCAAACTATATATTATATCCCGAGATATTAATAAGAATATAAGTTGAGCTCATAATGCACAGCAAACTAACATGGTCATGTGATTATCTAATTGCTCCTGTTCTTAAATTATATTCTTTGGTTTCGGATTCAGGGCCGACAGGGAAGGCCTTCAGAGATGTTATAAAAACGGGACCAGAACCAAAGCTTGTAGTAAGACCCAGCCCTGAATCAGAGAAGGTAGAGTATCTGGAGAGAAACCTGAAAAAGTCTCATTGTATTTTTGCATTATGTCTTTTATTTAAAAGAACATTTCAAAGTGCTTTACAAATGATGTGGTGGACAGAGTTAAGAGAAAATAAATGTAAAGATGTTGGCCAAAGGTTTGGTTGAAAGAGTAGGATTTTAGGATATTTTTGAAGGAAGGGTTTAAACTAATTTGGCAGTGGGGAGGGAACCAGGATGTAACATTAGAGAGGAGAAACAAGGAACATAGTGGACTGGGAGAGACAAGTAACTTTGGAATAAAGAGTAGTCAAGAAAGAGGAGGGATCAGACACAGGAGAAATGCAAAGCAGATAAAGGCAGTCTTGGAGTGCATGTGTGTAAATGCAAGGAGTGTGACAAATAAGGTTGGTGAGCTGCAGGCTCAAGTTGCCACATGAGGTTATGATGTAGTGGCAATAAAGGAGCCTTGGTTCAAACAAGGACAGGAATGGGAGCTGAATGTTCCTCACTACAATGTATTCAGGAGGGATAAGGAAGGAAAAAGAGGAGGGGGTGTCAGTATTGATCAAATATACTGTTTCAGCCCTGGAAAGGGATGCTGTGCTGGAGCAGACTGGTCCAACCTTATGGTTGCCGCGGGCTGCATTGATCTATTTGAGAAAGGTCTGCCGGCCGCATCTAGTGTGGGCCAGCTAGCGGCCCGCGGGCCATATCTGGCCCAAGACCATTTCCAACATTCCAACCCACTTCCTCCCTCCCTGGTGAACGTCTTCCCAGGGCAGCGGCAGGAGCGGCAGAGCCTTTACTGCAGTCTGCCAGGAAAGCAAGCTCATCTGTTACCAACCGCATCCTTAGCAACTAACTGCCAGCTCCTGCCACTGCGGATAGTGACCTGCACTTGGGAGAGAGATTGGGAGAAGGTTGGGGGAAAGAGATTGGTAAACAGAAGGGGGGAGAGAGACTGGTAGAGAGAGGGGGGGAGAGAGAGTGTGGGTGAGAGAGCCCTCCTTTCTCCCCCATCTTCTCTCTCCTCTCTTCCCCCTGTCTCAATCCCTCTCTCTCCCAATCTGTTTCTCAAGCATGGGTCACTATCTGCAGTGCAGGAGCTGGTGGTTGGTACGAAACACGCTTGCATTTCTGACAGACTGCAGTAAATGCGCTGCCCTGGGAGGACGTTCGCCAGGGAGGGAGGGAGTAGAAGTTGGAATGGTGGAAATGGGCGCAGGCTACGTAAAATCACCTGGTTGTGCTAGAGGGATCAAAGATGGAATATATTTGGTGCGAGTTAAGGAGCAGAATATGAGCTGTTACGCTGCTAAGTGTATACTATAGACCATCAAATAGTGGGAAGGAGATAGAGGAGCAAATCTATAAGCAAATTTCAGAAAGATGTAGAAACAATAGAATGGTAGTGAATAGAGTGGTGAATGGCTGATTTTCAGACTGGAGGAAAATACACAGTGGTGTCCACCATGGTCAGTATTAGGTCCACTGCTCCTTTTGATATATGGGAATGACTTGGGTACAGAGAGCAACATTTTAAAGTTTGCAGATGACACAAAACTTGGGAACATAGTAAACAGTGAGGAGGATGGTAGCAGACTGCAGATGGACAAAGACAGGCTGGTGAAATGGACAGACATGGCAGATGAAGTTTAGTGCAGATAAGTGTGAGGTGATGCGTTTTGGGAGGAAGAATGAGGAGAGGCAATGTATAATAAATGGTATAATTTTAAAGGGGGTACGGGAGCAGAGAGACCTGGGAGCTCACATACATGGGTCTTTGACCTCTCCAAGGTTCTGGAACGAGTCTCAGCTCCGCTCCTTTCTCTCTCGCCATTCCCTCTTTGAACCCCTCCAATCCGGCTTCTGCGCTGCCCACAGCACGGAAACAGCCCTGGTCAAAATCACTAATAACATTCTGAACATCTGTGATGAGGGCTCCCTCTGCCTCCTTGTCCTCCTCGACCTCACTGCCGCCTTCGACACTGTTGACCACTCCATTCTCATACACCGCCTCTCCGCTTTACTCAATCTTCACGGACCTGCCCTTGTCTGGTTTGATTCCTATCTCTCTCACCGTCTCCACTTCGTTGCCTCTAACGGTTTCTCCTCCAGCCCCCGCACTGTCACATCTGGTGTCCCCCAGGGCTCTATCCTTGGCCCTCTCCTCTTTAATATCTACATGCTCCCCCTTGGTGACATCATCCGCAAACATGGGGTCAACTTTCATATATATGTGAATGACACCGAACTCTTATCTTCTGCCTCCACCCTCAACTCCAGGACCACTGCTGTCCTGACAGACTGCCTGTCAGACATTAAGTCCTGGATGAGGGCAAATTTCCTACAGTTGAATGTGAGCAAGACTGAGGCCCTCCTGATTGGCTCACGCCAGCGCCTCTGCACCTCAGGCTCTGGCAACATCAACCTCCATGGTTGCTCACTTCAACTCACCAAGCCATCAGGAACCTGGGTGTCTTGTTCGACCCTCAACTGTCTCTTCTCCCCCAAATCCAAGCCCTGACCCGCTTTGCCTTCCCTCACCTCCGTAACATTGCCCGACTCCGCCACCACCTCACCCCTCAGGCTGCTGAAACTCTTGTTCATGTCTTCATCACTTCCAGGCTCGACTATGCAAACGCCCTGCTTGTTGGCCTTTCCAACTCCCTCCACAGGCTGCAGATAATCGAGAACTCTGCAGCCCGTGTCCTCTCCCGCACCAAACTCCGCGATCCCATCTCCCTCACACCCGCCCGACTCCACTGGCTCCCTATCCTTCAGAGGATCAGTTCAAGATCCTGGTCCTCACATACGAAACCCTCCATGGCCTCGCCCCACCCTACCTCTGTGACCTCCTAAACCCCTACCAACCTGCCCGTTCCCTCCGCTCAGTCGGCTCTGGCCTGCTCCATGTCCCCCGACCCACCTGCCCCACCATTGGTGGGAGAACCTTCAGCCACTCTGCTCCCAACCTCTGGAATTCCATTCCCCAGTCACTCCGCCTCGCCCCCTCCTTAGCCTCCTTCAAGTCCCGCCTCAAGACCCTCCTCTTCGACCATGCCATCGGCCACCCCTCTTCCCCTCCCCTCCCGACCCCAGCTCGGGTCTGAAATGCGTCTGTCCAGCGCCTTGGGACGTCCTCCCGACTTGAAAGGCGCTATACAAATGTAATCTTGTTGTTGTTCGAAGGTGGCAGGACAGGTTGATAGAGCTGTTAAAAACATATATGGGATCCTTGGCTTTAGAGATAGAGGCATAGAGTACAAAAGCAAGGAAGTTCTGCTAAACCTTTACAAGTCACTGGTTAGGCCTCAGCTGGAGTACTGTGTCCAATTCTGGGCACCACACTTTAGGAAGGATATCAAGGCTTTGGAAAGGATGCAGAGGAGATTTACCAGATTGTACCAGGGATGAGGAACTTTAGTTATGTGAGAGACTGGAGAAGTTGGGATTGTTCTCCTTAGAGCAGAGAAGGTTAAGGGGAGATTTAATAGAGGTGTTCAAAATTATGAGGGGTTTTGATAGAGTAGATAGGGAGAAACTGTTTCCACTGGCTGGTGGGTCATGACCAGGGGATATAGATTCAAGATAATTGGCAAAATAACCAGGGGGAGATGAGGAGAATTTTTTTTACACAGAAAGTTGTTACGATCTGGAATGCACTGCCTGAAAGGATGGTGGAAACAGATTCAATAACAACTTTCAACAGGGAATTGGATAGGTGCTTGAAGAGGAAACATTTGCAAGGACATGGGAAAAGTGCAGGGGAGTGGGACTGATTGGGTACCTTTTGCAAAGAGCCGGCACAGGCACGAAGGGCCAAATGGCCTCCTTCTGTGCTGTATAATTCTGATTCTAGTGGAGTTAAAACGCAGAGTGGTTTTAGGAAAGTGATGGTGGAACTGAGGAACAAACCACAATTCTAAGTCAGAGAGTGAAGGGTAAGAGTTGGAATGTTGGGTTGCAGAAAAAGGATCATGTCGGTGAGCCAAAGTCGTGCGATTATTCCAAAAGTTCATATTCATGATTATAACATCACATAGAAGCAGTAATGTCACTGCTCAGTTTGCTGTCCATTTCAGGACAGAAAAATCAATAGTTCAATTTTAAAAACTATTCTTTTAACAAAACATTTCACATGAGTGGTATAAACAGACATTCTAAATGTTGTTTATAATAGATCATAAAGCAATGCAGTTTTCTCTGTTCACTCTCTTGTCAAAGCTATATTGTGATTAGTACTGTTGGACCTGCTCAGTAAAAACTCAAATTATAAACTGAAAGCAGTGGAGTATCAAATATGTTGCATGACTCCATGGCACTGAACAGTATTGCTCTATTCCTGCCTTATTTTTGCTTTTCGTTCTGGTTTGGTAACTTAACAGTGTCTTATATTTTTTTGAAGCTTGCTAACTACAATTAGAATGTGACCCCGTTGAGCGCAGGTTCGTTTGGGCCTCCTTTGAATCTGCACTAACCAGAAATGCATTACACCTGGCTTCCGGCACTGATTAACCATCTTCCCACACTAAACATACCCAACTATCCTTCTTGGTGGGGAGGTAAGGGTGGTCTCCTTGGAGCTGAACTGGCTCCAAGGTGACGTGCCTGACAAAGGAACATAAGAATTCAGCCCTCTTTAGCCCTCTGTGATGGTCTCCAAATCCGTTTCCTGAGTAGGTGGGTCTGCAGTATTCCAGGGCCCTGTTGATGACAGCACAGTTCATCTGCAGGACCTGGAAGGGCAGACCAGTCACTGGGGCATGGAGTCATCCCACTCAGCTCATTTTAATCCTACAAGCCAAAGCCCTAACGGGTAACGTGGTCCTAGCTGGATAAGCAGCGGGAAAGCTTGCCATACAGCAATATCAATGGCAAGCTATGTGGTTTTAGCTGGTTCGACTCCAGGAGTACCCCAACGCACATTCTGGGGTCCTCAAGCCTTGGCTCTTGCCAACCTGTGCCTAATACTTTCCGGAATTAGGTAAGCAGGATGTGTCTCTCCAGGG